CCTTGGATCCGCCCTCTCGCTCAGAAGTCGAACGTGAGATCGGACTGTTGAAGTTGAACAAAGCCACGGGACCAGATAATCTTCCTCCAGTCCTCATCAACTTCGGGGGACCTGCTCTTTTTGATGATTTACACGTCTTAATGGTGAAACTGTGGGTGCAGGAAATTGTCCCAGTCGACTGGAGCCGCTCCGTTATAGTTCCGATCTTCAAAGGAAGCTCGCGTTCGGAATGCGACAACCATAGAGGAATCAGTCTGATTCCCATCATCTCCCAATTACTTGCCTCTGTCATCGTTCACAGACCGACTGGCGCTCGTGGAAGCCAGTTTCGTGAGGAACAAGCCGGATTTCGTCGGGATCGTGGCTGCATCGACCACATCTTCACTTTGCCGCAGTTGTTGGAGCACCATCGTAGTCGTGTTCCTCGACATCAAAGGTGCATTCGATTCGGTGTATAGACGTGCACTTTGGGACTGTTTAGTCAGGAAAGGTGTGCCCGAGAAATATGTAAATATTATCCGAGCATTATAGGCGCGTAGCCTAGGCAGACTGAGGGCTTACGGCGAGCTGTCGTCGCCCTTCAGCAGTGTGAGACAAGGATGCCCGCTGCCATATTTTTCAACTTTGCTATTGACGAACTCATGGAGATTGCATTCACAGACACGACTTAGAATGTCTGCAGTTACTCCAAGGAGAACGACTCCTTGACTTGGAGTATGCGGACGATATTGCACTCATCGGTGACAGCTCCCAGACGTACCAAGCTGCGCTGGACAGTTTAGTGCTGACTGTCAGCCGCTTCGGGCTTTGCTTTGCACCATCGAAATGCAAAGCTTTTCTCCAAAATTGGCCTGGACTGCCTCCTGTGCTGACCCTTGGTGGGGATCAGCTAGAAGTCCTTTAGAAATTCAACTACCTGGGAATTTGTATCAGCCCCCTTGGGATCGAAGAGGAGATTACGAACGCTATAGCAAAAGCTCGAGGTGCTTTTGCTAGTCTTCGCCACTTATGGCGCCGGCGCTATTTCTCTCTCCTTCTGAAGTGTAGAGTGTACAATGCAGCGGTACGTTCGACCCTACTGTACGACTGCGCAACCTGGCCCCTTAGATCAGCGGGCATAAAAAGCTAGTTACGTTCGACGATCGGCGCCTTCGCAGTTAGGCTCACATCTGGTGGGAACACCGCGTGAGCAACGAGCGTCTTCGTTGCTTTGTTTACGGCACAGGAAGAAGAACTGAACTGCTCAGCACCGTCATTTCACGCACTAGGCTCCGATGGCTCGGCCACGTGTTACGCATGCCAGCGCACCGACTTCCGCGACGTGTGTTGTTTGCTCGCCGGGAGTGTGGATGGAAGAAGAGGAGAGGTGGCCAAGCGATGACTTGGTCGAGAAGAATGAAAGTCCTCACTTCGAAGCTGGCCTCGGTTTGCGCGTCTCGATTCGCTGGTCGGGGTCCAAAAGGCGATGAACACGTTTGGCTACATACACTTGTTGATATGGCTAGGAGCCGACCTCATTGGCGTTCGTGTTGTGAGTTTCTTTGTCCCACCCCATCTCTCTTAGTCTCCTCTCCAACCACGATCTCACTAATGAGCCTTATATAATATTGCATTGTAAATTTTTTTACTGCCTGGTAGCCGGCTGGCAGGTGTCCGGAACGACTCCCATCCGTGGCTAGTAGCTAAGCTGGCATGCAACTGTTGCATTTATTTTCTTTTTCTTTTATGTATTGCAGCACAGTATCTAAGGTGTTTTACACCTCTGGCTAACGTGTATTATGATGATGATGGTGATGATGACATTGGCTTGAACACTGCTCTTTGTTTCATCCACTCTCTACTGTTTGGTCGATTCGTTATCCTTTAGGGTAGGTCGGTGATTGCTATTATTTCTCACTCTCCCCACATCCTTTCTGGGTGTAACGTTCGCCAGGTCACCTTCCACTGAGCTCACCATATTTCTCCCTGTTTCTTCATAATGGAAATCTTCATGATTAACTGTCAGTCTTGTATTCTCTGGGGTATTTGTGCTTGATGATCGCCTGATGGATAGGAGTTCGCAGACAATACAATTCTCGTTAAATCGAATCCAACTAAACAGGCTAGTGTACTACTCTTCACCTCAGCAGGCAGGATGCTGCGGCAAGATTAAGCCAACAAAATACTGATTTTCACCGTCACTGCACAATCACCGAGGCTATCGACTCATTCGCCTGGCTAAACAGATACATGGGTACGCCGAGCGAGACACGATCCCGTTGTCTCCGATGTGGTGTACGACACTGCCTTGCGCCAACTGTTGGCTTTTGATTATAGGCGTTGAGCACCTGGGGTCAAATTCATTATGATTCTTTTCATCTCTGACGGCCGTTGCCTACTAATTTCTGCTCGTGCATGTTGTGATCACTGTGGAGTGTACCGTTTGCTATTTAAGAACAGCTCCTCTGATGATGTACCGGAGTGTCTTGATTCCAAAGCACTCACAGTGGCCTGGCCATAATAATTCTCACGTAACTGCTGGTTGGTGAGTTCGCAGGCTCTTTTTGTCAGTATTGCGCCTAGTTTAGAAAAATTATGTGGTGATCGGTGGATGGGGATCTTGCGATGCTTCACACCAATGTTTGGAGACTATATCAGACATGGCACAGTCACGCAGTCGGTGGCCTTCTGCACTCGATTTCTTGCATCTGGTTGTTGGCTTTCGTCCCATTCTCTATACTTTGATGCACTTCCTTGTTTCCATTTTGTTTCCATTCTATTTGCATTCAACCCCACTATCTTGACGTTGTTATTTCTTGTTATTCTTGTGATATAAGTTGTGGCAACTGGATCCTAATTGTTTTACCGAACTGACCGATGAATGACGTATCGAAGTTTATTGAGAAACTGACCAAGAGACTCGGCAGCATTCTCACATGTGCTGCTTTCTCAATACCTCAAGGACGGATATCTTGGTAGTTTCACCGTCTGATCAGCCTAACGAACATTGTTCGCAGTTCTCAATAGACTGATGATAAGTAATTCACTAGCCGTTAGGTTCTGTCTAATTCCCTCTATTCATAGTACAGATCTCTTTTCCTGAAGATTCTAACCGAGAGCGAAACCGATCGGACAGTGCTGTATCATATGCGAGCCACAGTGGAAACACCTTCTTGACCTTATCGAGTGCTTCTTATCTGCCAAAACAACGTCGTACTTGCGTTCGGCTTACTGCATGATTTTCATCCTTTCATCTGACGTTTATGGCTTTTTACGGACCATGCCCCCGTTGTTTGTTTTATCACTGTTTTTGTTTCGCGGTCTCTTCTCATCGTGCATTTTTATCATGACGACTCGAGTCCCTGTGACGCCTTAATTTAATACCTGAGACATATTTGATCGGAACAGCTGAACTTAAAAGATTTGTCACAGTTTCTTTGTGCATTTTAACTACATGTTCTGTCTTCACCGGCTGCTTTTCCACCGGTGTTATTTACACGCTAAGGCCAATGGCTTTTGAAATGGCCTACTCCTCTGAGATTGACCTGGCTATATTATGAAGCTTTTGGTTTCCAATGCAACCTGTGTCTGTGTTATTTTTGTCATCACTCTCGAAACAAGTGGGTAATGTCTAGTGACCACCCATACTTGCCTTTGGATTCCCGACCTAGCAGTCTTTCACACTACGGTTGCGTTCACATTATTGGTTCGCTCTTGCCTTTTTTAGTATCATCTATCAATCGTTGTATCAGTTGGGTGACCAGGTGCACGCGTTCTCCGCTGTAGTTACCACTTTAGCCATCAGTAGCGATATTGGACGCCGAATCACATTGGCTAATTGCGATGCAGCATTTAACCAAGTGTTACCTTTGTGTTTTCCAATCTCGTTTGAGCCACATAATGCTCCTATATGACGGCTAATCTGACTTATTCAAGCCTCTGGTTATTCGTTAGAGATTTTAAACATTTATCTTCATTTGGACAGAGGCTACTTTCTACCAGCCCTGAAGATAAGCACTGATATCCTGTCAGCAGCTTTCACACTTACAGCCAACATCATCACACATCGAGGACGTGTGCTGTGTAACGGTATGCCATGAGGTGATAACAGCCGCACTGTTCTGGCAATTGTAGCTAAAGTCTTCACAGATGTGGCAACCGTCTTTAACTAATGACAATTTTTGTTACATGTTTTTCAACGAACTACCGATTACCTCGTCCGACCGTTAGATAGTCTCATTCTAGTCCTCTACATGTTTGTAGTGCGGCTTCATGACAATCATTCAATTCACCAAGTAAGCTCTTACGAATGAAGGTTGGGACGCCGACATTTTCCATTGGCTACTAATTCAAGCTCAAGTTCTGTCATCTAACTGTATTGAAAATCTTTCACCCACCCTATATCAGTCGAGCCAAACTATGGTTCCGTCACTAGGCTCAGTTAGCCGACTCATAGGTGCACCCGTGCTGTGATTACGGACTCTGTTTTGCTTCCACGACGCTCTCTTTTTATCATTCTGTACTCGTCTCATGTGTCTTATATTTCTTATTTACGCTTTTTGGCGAGTTATAAAAGTATCTTTTACCAGGTAATTACCGTTGCTCATTGGAATGGCGTCGAAGATGGATACCTCGCTGTGTGCGGTGTCAGTAAAATAAGTATCATCTATCTCACTATTATCATTAATAGCTCATCATGTTATAAGCGTAAATCATTGTATTGACTAGTATCCATATAACGACTTGGAACGGTTTAGTTTTCTCTCCAAATATTGCTGGTTTATACTGCATTTGCTAGCAAAACCAACACTTCTGATGCATGCTATTTGTTAATCAGGCGCGTGGATGAATCTATGAAGGACCAACTGGTATTTTGGTATTGTTTCCACCAGGACACTGCTGTGCAGTTTTTCAATCAAATGAACGCTTTCCTTGCGGCTGCATTCCACTCAGGCACGCGGTTTGTTTAATAGAGGTGGCTTTTTAACAAACTTGTTTGTTACTTTCTTTCTGTTGTTCAGGCGAGCTATTTTGGACTCGGATGAGGCCGTCAATCGACTACTCTCCACCTTACTGTCAATTCCATCATTGACAACAGAAACGTTTTCTGTCAAAGTAAGCATTCACTTGTCACCGGGGCCAATCCCTCAATTTTCAGCCTCTTTTTACAATTACTTTGAGCCACTGCTTTCACTTGATATTCGAATTCGTGCTGCTATTCGATTGTGTTATACCTCTGCTATTCATTTTTGTAATCAACTTTATTTCATGCTATGGCGTTGATCTGCACCAATCTACCTTAGCCATGCTCTCTTTTTTGGACACTCCCCTCCGATCCACGGAAAGAACCTCACTGCGACCTCTTGTCCAGAACTTAGTCCTGGACACAGATGAGGCATCCATTGGTCGACGCATCAAGTTCTATTCGCTCTATGCTCTTTGACATCACGTTTTGGCGCCATACGGTTCGGGTATCCATTTAGTTGCATTGGTCGGCGTGTCGTTAATGTGTGAACTGTTCGTAGATGCCTACATTATGGAAGAATGTCTGACTTCCTCTTTGTTACGGTGTTTTTCAGTCGGAACTACAACGACCCATTTGTGCGTCCACTTCATCCACAAGTGGCAATGCGTTTGGGCCCACAGCACTGTGCCGTATGGAACTTATTTGGCCATGAAAGCCATTGTTGATTTCCGAAGCATGATCAAACCGAGGGCATGCTTGTTAATATATTAAAACCTCCATAAGTTGACTAGGCCTAGACAAAAGTGGTCAACTGACAGAGGTCTGGATCCATAAGGTTTACATTCTGGACGTTCAAGCAATAAAAACAAAACGTTCAGCCTAGAGTGGTGGTCAGCATAAAGGGGTGATCAACGTCGGAGCTTTTACTGTAGTACTAATGACAGGTGTAATTCTCAGCATGTGAGGAATTGCATTATCTGTTGGCGTAAACCAGACATTAAATGCGTGATCTTGCTCTTATATCATCGTCTGCACAACCAGCTGAGTCATAATGAAAAAAGTGGTCAGACGAACTCAGTTTACTGGTCCTCCATGTTGGGGGTTGTAAATGAGATACGTCTATTTCTGCAAAACTAAATCACTGTTACCTCCTCACTGCCTTGCGTACAGGCTTTTGAGTCAAAGGCTTTGATTGAGGACTCTTATCGTCATCCTGTCTAGGTCTGGGTCTCTTGGCGGTATCTCAGCTCACATACAACCAGAAAATTTCCCCAAACTCTGATTTCATCCTGCATCGACCCTCGCGCACATTATCAAGGGTCGCCTTATCTGTTGCATTCAGCAGGGCGGATAAGCGGAAACATGCTACTGCTGGTGCCTCCCTTCTTTCTTTTCCAATTTCTTCTATTACTCCCATCCCTACCCCCATTACTAACCTTCCTTCTATATAATTGCCAGCAACCGTAGTGCCACTGGAGTAGAACCATCTACATCCACCTCCCGCAGCACCCACCGGACGCCTATCGGCGACTCCCTTAGAAGTCCACGCTGTCCAGTTTTGCCGGCGGCGTTCATGGTTCGCGCTCTAAGACAAATAGGTCAACGGGCTGCACTCGCACGTAGGTTGGGCACACTGGGTATTGACGTATGTTGTGTGTCCGAAACTAGGATAAATGACCCACAAAGACTCTCGACTTACTCTCTTGCTATCGCTTGCATGCATCCGGAGAAGTTAATGCGCTTATCACTGGTTAAGCTAGTATGGGCATTATTGGATTCACATGAATAGCCATTTTGGTGTAGCCCGTTAAACGACATCAACTAAGACTGATTCACGAATTTGCACTGGACACTGTTTGTTTGTGTTTTGCGCCTGTGCCCCCCTGACTGCAGCTCTGATGCTGCGAGGAACATCTGCTACGGAGTGAACGTGCTGCTTCGCAGTGTTACCAGTTCAGATATCGCTGCTGTTAAACGGGAAATGAATGCGCAAGCTGGTCGCCTGAGCTCTTCAATGTCTCAGCTAATTGGTAACTATGCAGTTAACTCCGGCCGTAGGGACAACGGCGAGCGTCTGCCGCAACTGTGTGAGGAGCACCGACTGTTTCCTAGTGGCACTGCTTTTAGACACAGTGGGAGCCGAAGTGCCACTTGGCGTCCACCTATAGCTGGCCAGCCATGGACCCAAATTGCTCACGTTACAGGTGACCTGGTTCCATCCTGGACTGTCGTTCGTTCTGGAGTACTTGCGTTGTCTCTGATCATCCCTTGGTACATGATTATCTTTCCATGAACTTTACCGGGAGGCGTATCAAGCTTCTCCGTCGATTGGCGACAGATATATTTCAGCCCTCTGTCAGGCAAGGGCACCAGGATGCTCTACGCACCGGAACTTCATTCTTTCCTCCTGACGTTATTTGGCTTTAGTGGAGTAGGATCTCGGCACCCATGCACGACGCGGTTGTCTCTGCTTGCGGCACGATCTATAATCACCGCATGAGTCACTGGATATCCGAGAAGTCGGTGAACCTGTTGGAATGCAAGAAAAACTCCTGGCTGGCTCTGAGCACAATGTGACCAGACGGGCTATTAGGCGCGAACTAAAGTGGAGCCTGCACGCTGACAAGAAAGCCTAGTGGACCAGTGGGCTCAAGTAATAGAGGTTGTTGTGGAGGCAGTAGACAATTTTCTCAAGCTCTTCCAACTTATTCGCACAGCTGATCCAAGGAAATCAGGCGTCGGTGAGACAATCAGAGACAGTGCATGTACTATGATTCACAATATGCAGCGCCGTATAGCTGTTTGACTAGTGCATTTTCAGCTGGCCTGCTTCCGGATCCCTTCCTACTCAGGTGATGCAGGTTGACACACTGTCGGTTAGTTTAGAGGCTCCGCCGAAGGCTATGCTGAAACGCAATCGCAGCCCTTTTGAGCTGTTGACCCGGATTCTATCACAACCACACTACATGCGGATCGAAGTGAGTTCTTTTACGAGGCACTGGTCTCACTGTTCGAACATGTTTGGTAGGAAGAGACGCTCGCGGTTAAATGGAGATGGAGTAGATGAATTATGGTGGCAATATACAAGAAGCGTACTCGCACCGACTGTGCTAACCAAATCTCATAGTCAGCTGCCAATCACGCAAGTCCGTGGCTGTCACCCATGGCGAAGTGGCACTAGCTGCTGGCATCCTGAAGTCATGGAGGCGGAACCCAGCAGGGGTCCGCTGGGAGGCGCACCACTGACGAGACCCAGAAGGTCGAAACGCCTTCGTCTGATGCTTTTCCAGACTAGCCTAAGCCTGCTGATTGGGAGTTACGATGATGAATTAGCTGGATAGAGCTATAGTCTAACACCGGTTGTGGCAAAAGTACTGGCGGCAATTCTGGTTCGTCGCCTCACTGCGGAGCAGGAATCCCGTAGTAGGAAAGAGCAAGCAGGGTTCTACACAGGACAGGGCTGCATGGACCATATATTCGCTCTGCGACGCGCTAAAGCAGCACCAAACGTATCACCGGTTTGCAGTACTTGTTTTCTTCGACTTTATGAGTGCGTTCGACTCAGTCGATCGACGCATTCTGTACGAAATACTTTCGCAGAATGGTGTTCCCATGAAATGTTTGAGCATTTTACATGACCTGTACTCGAACACGAGATGCCATGTAAGGGGCTGCGGTAACTTGTCGGATATCTTTCCGACAACTAGTGGCGTTCGTCAGGGTTACCCCATCTCTCCATTTTTGTTCAACTCTGTCGTGGACTCCATCATGCGGTGTTCTCTTGCGGCGCCTCACAACGCAGGCGTTGTGGCGCTGTCTGGTGATCATGCGGACGTATTGTTTTGCTCTATGACGATGTTAAGGTGGCTCAATCAACCCTAGATAACCTCAGTGGTGTTGTCTTCTCATTGGCATCTTTCGCATCTTAAAAGTGCATTGTGTTGTTACAAGACCACCAGCCACTTGATGATACCTTGATTGCTGATTGCGAGGAGCTCGAAGTAGTTGATCAATTCATTTACCTTGGCGGTTACATCAGCAACGGTGGTTGCATTAGCACTGAAGTCAGTTTGCGTATCACAATAGCTGCAACCGTCTTCTTGAATTTGCGACATCTGTGGCGTCAGAGGATCGTGTCCTTCTGCCTGGAACTCCGTGTTTACATGGCCACAGTGAGGGTCATTTTACTATATGGTAGTGAGGTTTGGCCCATTTGGTCTGAGGAGCTGAATCACCTACAAATCTTTGGTCATTGCTGTTTGCGAAGCGTTGTTGGTGTAGGAAGGCACCAGCGTGTTCGCAATGACGATGTGCGTTGGCGAGTGCTAGACAGCATTAATCATGCTACTTCCTTAGAACCACAGACAGCTGATTACTGAATAAGTTCCATTGGCTTGGGCATGTACTACTTATGCCCGGTCGCCACTTACCGAGGACGATCCCGTTTTGTTTGCTAGATTTAAGACGACGCAAAGCATTAGGTGTATAAAAATTGACTTGGCATCGGGAAATAAAGTCACTGACCGAGTGTTGTAACACTCGGTGCAGCTGGTCGGTCGCGTCTTCCAGGCTGGAGTCCACATGGCTCACCTTGTGCTTGGCTTGGTACACTACAGGGCATAGTCAAGTCAAGTCAGCATAATCTTTATGTACCCAACTGGGTGCATTTTCAGCATTTTACATGGCTCGTACTCGGCACCAGTGGCGTGTCTTCTTGTCGGACTGTCTGTTTAAAAGGTGTTTGTGTCGAGTTCTATGGGGGTAATGGCTGATTAAGACACGTGACAGTGAACGCCACAAGTAATCTGTCGCGCCGATGCTGCCTTGTCTGTGTACGAAAGCTAGCTGTTTGTAACAGTGTATACTTGACACAAGGTATAGGCGTTTTGCCCCTCAATGTTTGTTTTGGACAGGCATTCCCAACCTTCATTCAACCATTAGTCCCCTTTTGAATCTTTCCATTTATCATGGCCCTCTACCCTTGATCACCACAAGTTCAGCAATCTGCAAGGCCAAACAGACGTAAACCTGTGATTTTCGATGATCATGTTAGTATCTTTTGTTATGATGGTTAAATTTTAATGTTGGTATCCTTGCACTTTTCCTTATAAACCTCCTTTTCAAAATTTCACAGCCTCCAGATAACATC